AATCGGCGCTAAGCTCGTAGGAAAATGGGTCGAAAAACAAACAAATGAGGAAAAAAGATTAAATAATTTTTTAATAAATAAAGGAATTGAATGGTGTTTTATTCCATCGCTTTCCCCATGGGCGGGAGGAGTTTATGAGCGTTTAGTTAAATTGGTTAAAGACTCCTTTAAAAGAACACTAGGAGGTGTTATATTAAATTTAGAAGAGTTAAGAACCTTCATAAAAGAGGTTGAATTTTCTATTAATTGTAGGCCTATTTCTTTTGTTTCTGGAGAGATGGATGGACCATCTTGTCTTAGACCTGTTGACTTTCTCTTGCCAAATATTGAAATTAATGAAAATATAAATGAGTCAGATGTAGAAGAAGAATTTAAAATAGGAAAACTGAGTATGGGAGATCAATTAAGAGTACGATTAAAAGCCACTCAAAAGGCCTTTGAAAAATTTTGGACGAGATGGACTCGCGAATATTTATTGATTTTAAGGGATAAATCGAAATGGACCCATAATAACGATCGGACTTCACTAAAAAGAGAACCAAAGGTTGGGGAAGTGGTGATTGTGCAACAAGAAGGCCAGCCAAGGAATACTTGGAGTTTGGGAAAAATTATTGAGCTAGATGGAAGCCCGCCAAAGAGCGCTAAAGTGCAAATAGGAAAAAGATGTTTAGTAAGGCCTGTCAATAAGCTTTTTCCGATGGAAACAAAAAATGACGTAATTAAAAATGGAGAAGAAAAAAGTGAAAATAAACTGGAGAATGGCCAAAATAATGATGCAAATAAAAATAAAATAAAAAATAAGGACAAAGAACAAAATTCAATAAATAATAATTCAAAAGGAATAAAAAATGGAGAAAATAAATTAAAAAATAAAAACAATATACATCCCATGGTCACCAGAGCAAAAAAGGCGACATTAATCTTGACAATTATAAATTTATTTTTATTAATGAACTTTGTATCTTCAAATCCCACTTATTTAGTAAGCTGCAGGGGTTGCAGAATGAAATGTAAAAATTTCGGATTATTAATAAGTGTCGGATCTGAAATTGACAAAGTAGAAGTTTGTTGTATGGGTACTTGTATAATCGAAACAAATGGATTGGAACATTTAGAATTAGGACTGCCAAAGGATGTAACGGCACTAGATTATAGATGTCGAGCAAAATATATAAATGGTCGACGAATATTTCGAGGAAGTATTTTTTGTCCGGCAGTAGATCCTTGTTTAAGAATTACAGAAATTTGGGAAAGGATATTAAATCCACAATGTGAATCAACAAAAACTATAACCATAGTTGGTATTTTCTTAGCATTTATGCTTTGCCTATTAATAAGCGGAATGGTTTGCGCTTGTAGAATTTTTTCAATATTAGGCAAAATAATTTTAATTATTTGGAGATTAATTAAAACAATGGCTAAAATTTCTTCTAAAAAAGATGGAAAAATTGAAAATAAGGACCTTGAAATACTTATTGATCGGTCCCATAAATTAAAGAAAATAAATAGAATAAAAAGGAATAGAAGATTAAACCGACTTGGATTATTAAATATAATTATTTTTATTATTTTTATGAAAATTGTAAAAGCCGATATTGAGGTTATTTCAATTCAGGCGAGATCGGAAGATTGTTATAGATACAAAAATTTAACAACTTGTAAAATTACCACTACTAATACCTTAACTTTATTACCTGATGGGCAGGTAATTTCCTTAACTTTAAAAAATGATAAAGGAATGATAATGGGTGAAATGGAATTTATTATGAATGGTCTTTCAATAAAATGTAACCAAAAATCTCAAAGACAATTGAGATCATATGAGCTTAAAGTTGGATCTGTTAAAAGGTGTCCAGCTCAAGGGACCTGTAAAGCTGGAAGATGCCAACATATTAGATCGAAAGAAAATGTTGAAGAGTTAGATGAATGGATTAAAAAACCAGGAAATTCATATTGTGTCGAAGGCCACGCATTATGGGGATATCAATGTGGATTACCTGGAGCGGCCTGCTATTTCTATAAAGTATATGCCGAACCAATTTCTGATGAAGTATATGAATTGGTTTCGTGCCCTACTTGGGATTACGTAATTGATATAGAAATGTCAATGAGATTTAAGGGAAATATATCAAAATATAGTTTTTCATTAAGTCCTGGAGCGACAATAAAATGGGATAAAATTAGAATATCTTTATTAGATATTACTCCACCTATGGCCCCAATTTTGAGCAGTCAATTTATAATTGGTAACAATGGAGTAGCAATGGTAGATAATTTTAAATCAGATTTAGAGTGTTCTGATGCCAAAAATTTTTCAAAATGTGAATTAGATATAAATTCTTGTAAAGAATGTTGGTTAGATAAAGAAGAGGAACAAATAAAATGTGCTTGTATTGATTTAATAATTGAGGAAATATTTAAAGACAAACAAAAATCTTTGCCTTTAGATACAAAAAGGATTAAATTAAGGAATAATGGAAGAAATATATATTCAGAAACAAGTTATTTACCTATAGAAATTATGGTTAGATTTGAGAATTATTCTATAGCTTCAAATATAGATATTTCTATTTGTAAAATTGAACCTATTATATTATCGGGTTGTTATAATTGCTTTGGAGCAATTTTTAAATATAAATGTTTTTCGGACTATGGAAGTCCTCTAGCGGAGATTAAATGTAAAAATGGTAACATTTTTACAAGTAAATGCTCAGTAAATGGAACTGAACAAGTTTCAGTTCTATCTTTTGATAGAACAGAAGTAAGAGAGTATTGTGAAATTTTTTGCCCTGGAGGCAAAACAAACTTTACAATACAGGGAACTCTCGAATATATTCTCCCAGAAAAGGCTAAAATTATAGTTAAAAATGGAACCCCAAGTTTATACACAATGGAAAGTGCGTGGGGAGGTATTTTTGACAATTCATGGACGAATTTTAAACTTTTGGACATACAAGGATTATTTTGGGAAATGATGAATATTAAAATAATTTCAATTGGAATTTTAGTCATCATTATCATTTATTTCATATTAAAAATTTTTTTAAAAGTCAACCCAATGTTAAAAATGTATAGATTAATCATAACCAGCTGTTTATTGTTGATAACAAATTTGGGGGCGGGAGGTTTTGGAGAGACACCTCCAAATTTTAAAAATTTTGTTGAGATGTCAAGGGGGCATTATTTTTGTATAAAAAGGTTTAAAAATTTTAAATTTTATTCACTTTCAAAAAATCATTTAAATTTAAAAATATTCATGGCCCCAATTCCCTTTACTCAATTCGCTGCTAATATTTTAAATTGTGATTTAGAAGATGTCTATGGAAGACTTTATTTTAGCCGTTTGGATCGGAATACAGTTGCTAATGAAGCAAGAAAGGTAGAAAATAATAATGGAAATATTTATTGTTCTACTAATGAATTTTCTTGCCCAAGGGGGGTTATAACTGGATTAGCCGAGTGGATATTGGTTGACGATAATAAAAATTTGGCTGTATATCCGGAACAAATCCCTCCACAATGGTGGAGTGAATTAGTTAAAAGAAATAGGATGAATACTCAAAATTTCTTTTATGATGAGGAAGTTTCTAAAACAATTGATATGGGACCAGGGATAGAGTTAGAAAATCCTCTGAGAGGTGTACTTGAGTTTTATCCTTTGGAAGGATTAGAAATAGAAGAATATATTGAGGAAGAGGTCCCAGATATGGATAGATTAAATATAAACATTGAAAATAATAATAATAATATTCAGAATAATTATGGTAGTCAAACATCTGCACGAGCAACTATGGAAGTTGAGGTTAGTAATGGAAGTTTAAAAAATATAAAAATGGATTTTATTCAGGAAAAATTAGTTGTTACTATGGAAGCCAACTCGGATCTTCATTGTTCAAGCAGCGGATCTGAGGTATCCACTGTAGAAGTGAAGGTTAAGGCTAAATTGTTTCGTGGTCCGTTGTTGGGAATTTTTTTCTTATGTTTGGTAGTTGGGACATGGACTCCCGCTATGGCAGCACCAAACAGCAACACCCCAACAACACCATTAGGGGACTCCAATTTGGATACGGAGGACCCAGAAGCATTTGAGGAGTTGTGTGATGCGTTTTTGGGCACACACAATTCTTCTGTGCCTCAAGGGGAGGCACAGGAGAATACAACCAACACATCACAAATGTATTCAATTTTCGATCATTTAATGGACAATTGGGCAACACGTAACCAACACTTACCATCAACCTCAACAACTACAACTAGGCCAATCCAATTTGTGCCTCAAACAACAACAGCAACACAACAAAATCCAGCTATTATCCAACAACAGCAACGACAACATGTTGGTGGTCCGATTCGTGCGCGAAGGCAACCCAGACAAAATTTAAATCAAGGTTGCTTCATTTGCCACGCTTCAGACCACTTTGCCAAATATTGTCCGGCCAAACAATCTTGCAGCAGCAACATGATAATTCAGCGGACAACAAATCCACCCAGCAACACTCAAAACCAGGACACACAAACAGCAATGCGCAGCGTTGCAACTCAATTAACAAGAATGAGTCAGCAGTGGACAAACATTCCTGCCATTTCCGCATTTCTACTACAAATGGCGCAATTCATTCTTCTGGCATTGGACGCCCCGAGACAACACTAATTGGTGGCCGGGAGTGTTTCCAACAGAAAGAAAATGTTTGGAAAGAATTGAAAGGAATTTTTGGGCGGAGAATAAAATAAATAAAAATATATTTTTATGATTAATACGTTTTTTCCCACGCAAATTTCACTCTTTTTAAACCGTCAAATTTTGATTATTTTTCAGTCGCTTTTGAATATTCGAAATTTGGAAATAAATATTTTTTATTGTGGAAATAAAGAGTTAAATAAATTTGAGAGTTAAAATAAGGGGCTTTAGAGAAATTACCCTAGAAAATATATAGGAAGGAAAACCTTATAATTAATTTTAATATTTTGGTTTTCATAATTATTATTCGAACAAGAACAAGATATGTTACATAGTATATCCCAAAGTGATGCAGCAATAAATATTTCTATGGTTAATCTACATATTTAAATTTTAAAGGGATCTTTTTAATTTTAAGGGATTTTTTTTACTTTGTTTTAAAATTCTTAACCATAAATTTCTGAATGATAGAAAATTATATTGCTAGAAAATCTTAATTAATTTCCCAAAATAAAATGCCTAGTCCTCTAAATCTATCTATATTTTTAAGGAGAATTCTTTTATACCAACAGATATTGAAGATAATTTATTTGTAAATAGCAATATTTCTTCAAAAAATAATCGGCAAAAGAGTAAATTAAATTTAAAAAATTACCTAATTAACTCTGATTTAGTCAATGGTTATGGAACTTTTTTGTTAAAAAGGAATAATTCGAAAAGATCATCGATGAGAAGAAATTATAAATTAAATAATCAAAATAATAAAAGAATTTTTAAAGAAAATGAAGAAAAAATTAAAATAGAATATAGACAAATAAAATTACTAAAATATTTTAAAATGAAGGCTAATAAATTAATTAATAATGTTAAGAGGTAAATAATATTTTTATTTATAAGAAAATCTAAAATTTTGGAAGAAACTTGATATGATTTAATTTTTTAATTAAAATTAATTCTTAAATAATCATTATTGGAACTAATAAAAATTTAAAATAATTTTACAAATTTTAATTTTAGAAATTGTTCAGATCCAGTTTATTGGGACGAGAGAGCACGAATTTATTTTCCTTTATCCTATTTTTGTATGAAATAATTTTATTTTTAAAAATTTATACATAAATATTTTAAAGTTTTTAATGTTGCTTATTGGACATATTATGTTGGCTATCATAAAATATTACGTCAAAAATTTTTTAATTCAAATATGCTTTCTGATGCTTAAGAAATTAGAATATAAAATTACTAGCCATTAAATTATAATATAACGAAAAGTCTGGGAAAGAACATAGTTCTTTATCAATGAGAGCAAGTTGAATATTGATGGTCGATTGGTCGATTGCTTTATCAATGATCATATTACTATTTATTTATTATATTTTGACATAAAATTTTTTTCATTAAAAATATAAATTTTATTTAATTTTAAGTGTGATTAAATTCTAGTGATTTTAATTTTTTTATATTCTTCATCTTCTTTCTGAAAATATGTACAAGTATTCTTCTATTGTAAATATATTTTGATTTAAATTTATTAAAATTAATTATATGTCCGATCAATTTGACATAACTCATTTCTTAACGGTGTTATACACCTTTCCTGTACAACAACATTTTCGTTATTTGTTTGCACCATTGGCAAAACAACTGGAGTTTGTTTATTTGAATTTTCTTTCAAAACTTTTAATCCAATCAGTTTTTTAAATCCAATTCTATATTTATGTACAGTTATAATTGTAATTAGAGGATTGAGTACTGGCAACCATTGAGAGGGTAAAAATAATAAAAGTTCAAATGGAAGGATAATAACTGAGAAAATTCCACTGACTGCTAATGTAACGAATATAAGCATACTTAAAGATGTTAATGCAGCAAGAATTGCCTTTAAATTAGAATTTGTCAATTACTCACTCAGGAATTTAAAGAAATAAATACCTGCAATAACATATTCCTCAAAACTTGATTCAAAGCTTCACAACTTAAAGTACTCCAACTTCCTGTCAGATTTTTTATCAGAAAATATTTAATTTTCTTATAGCAGAAAATAATTGCTATATTAAAAAATACAACAGAAATAATCATTAAACCAAGAAAAGCTTTTTGAATTAAATTATCCTGAAAATTTTTATTTAAAAAATATTATTATCTATTTTGTATTTAAATTGTAATTTTGGTAAATTATAGTAAAAAAGTCCAAAAAATATGTGTGTAGCTCTCCCCCCCTCGCCCATCATTAATACTTATTAGAAAAAATTACATAATCAGATGACCAAATAATTCTGATACTTTGTAAGAACTCAACATTTTGTGTGTTGTCGAATAATAACCCACAAATTTTGACAAATTTTTGTAATGTTAGCTGATAATTAACTGTGGGCAATGAACAAATATTTACAATAATGATGACTACAGCATTAAGCAAAACTATGAATCCCATAATTGAATAGCGACGAAAATGATTTGAATGATTTCTATTAAATAAAATAAATGAATATGAATAGAATTTAAAATTAATTTGGTTTTGAGTTAATTAATTAAGATTTAAAGATTATTTAGAAACAGAGATTTGGACTTGAGAAGCATTAAAGATTTGAGATGAATAATTAATGGTATAATGCACACTTAAGAAGTACTTTTTACGTGGATTATAACCGATGGCAGTTACATACTATTTGTTTAGTATTTCCCAATTAATCTTTTCTATTTAAACCCAACTCAATTACCTGCAAATAACCAAATATCTGTCAATAAATTGCAATGAAATAGAGGTTGTACTACATCCCAGAGTACACAAATAAACCAAGAGAACCAAATGCTGTAAAGGAATTGCAGGAATCCATCTACCTGGGCCGTGAAGAAAAACATACGCATTATTATCCGAAGCAATGAAGAAAAGCTTTAAATTAATTTTTAAAAAATAGGATTAAAAATATTTACCGGTTGCCCTATTGTTTGGGATATTATTTGAAGTAAATGCCAACAAATGTGATAAACAGTAATTCGAAAATATTCTTTGAGATCATTTGTTGAATGTTTTTTTGCCAAATAATAAAGCAAAAAATTAAATACTATTCCGAGAGAAAAAGTTAAATAAGCGTTGATCATTACTGCTAAAGTTATTGCCTGCACCATCTTTTTTGAAGGATTTTAGTACAAAATATTATTTTTATAAAGAAAATAAATTTAAATTAAATCTGCTTTCAAAAATTTAATTTATTTTGTGATTTGAAAAGAATAATTGAGGGAAGTTAAAATATTCCTATAATTTATTTTTTCAAATGTCAAAATTACTTCATTTTACGTAGGTAATTTTTTGTAGGTATTACAAACATATAATTTACCAAAAAAATTATTTTAGAAATCTTAGTTAATAATTAAAATCTAAGAGAAATTAATTAAAATGTCTGAAAAGGTGAGGAATGAAAGGAGAATAAAAATTATTTTTTGTTTTAATTTAATTTTTAATAAAGGCTTGTAAAAGATTTTTAATTTAATATATTTATTTAATTATATATTTATTTAAAAAAGGATAATAAAAAAAAGACTTTTTATTTAATAAAATATAAACGTGATTTTATATTTAAAAATTTTTTTAATAGAATTATTTAAATAAAAAAATTTATCTTTATAATAAAATTTAAATATATGTAATTAGTACAAAGAAGTTTAAATAATTCAAGCAATTTTTGTTCGTTTTTGATTTAGATACTCTGAAATTAAAATTAAAATTAATAATATTATTGAAGCAGAACATTGAAGAGTAAAATATTTTGTAAAATCTAAATATTTACTTTTGAAAGGAGTTGGAGAGTTTGGAAGGAATAAAGAGGACCGAACCAAAATTTTCGTTTTGGCTGCTTAACACTAATGTTGCGCCCCGACTCCGTGCCCTACATACCCGCCTCCTAGTTGAAATCAACGAACCTACTTCCGTTTTCTGAATAATATCGAGTAAATCATGGAAAATTGCTGCAGCAAAGCACAACCATCGTGTATATTTTAGTCAATTCTAATAACTTTGCCATAATAGAATTATTTTTTGACACACACACATCTTGTAGTATCAAGTAGTACTTGTAATATTTGTAGTATCAAATCTTAATTTCGAATTCTTTTTTTCCATTTTATTAACTAAATTAATGAGAACTTTTAATCAATTTAATTTGTTAAATTTATTGGAAATTTTTACGCAAAACAACTGTACAAACAAAAATAGTTTAAATGAAAATTTTGATAGAGTAATTAAAAATGCCAAAACATCGCAGTCTGTTGCTTGTTTTTATTTTTTTCTAAATTCTCTTAAATTTTAATTCGCCCACTTAAATTTAATATTTTTAGTTTTTTCCACTTCACAATAATTTTAAATAAAATTAATTATTCGATAAGCTCAACAAACTATAAAAAGTATTTAAATTTGAATAACCGGTCTGTGAATGATCACTAACATGTTTCGAACGATTTTTAATTGAACCTGAAGTAATTTTTAGCGCTTAATGTTAAAATGCATTTAAAAATTATCAAAGAAATTTTTATAAAAAATTTTGAATTCAAAATTTTTTAATAAAAATATTCCAACCTTTTCCTATTTTGAATTGAAAAAATTTTAAAAAAGTATGTTTTAATAATGTTTTAGCATTTATAAGAAAAATTACTAGAACTAATAATCTTCTTTTTATTTTCTTTACTTGTTTTTCAAGGAAATAATATTTAAATATTTTACATATATCTCAATGATCAAATTTTTAAGCTAGTTTTAATCTTTATAACAACCAATTTTAGATTATTTATTATTGTTGGATGTCAATATTATTTTATTTATTAAATTTTTAAAATTTTCTTAGAACTTACATATATGTAGGTAATTATGTAAATATTGAATATTAACATATTTTTTATTTCCTTGAAATATTTTAAAATTAAACTTAATAGTAAACATTTCCCACATGATTAACTAAATAAATATTTGTTGATGTGTTTCAATACATATATTTTTAATATGTAGTATTTTACATAATTTAAATAATTAATTTTAAAATAAATAAAATATTATTGTCTGATACTAAAAGTTTTTTTAAACTGACCTTTTAAATGCTTAATATAAAAACTAAATATGTATTAAAATTTTATTTATTTTATGAATTAATAAAATTTTATTGTTTTATGTATATTATATAAACTATATTATATTTTTTACATTTAAATCCTATATAAATTTAGTAATAAGAATCTCTTTATTAAATAAAAGTATGTTTTTTTATATTTTCTTTAGAAATATTTATATTTTATTTTTAGATGTTTTAATGCCAAAATTAAAAATATTTCCTAGAGAACCATCATTCGATGGCAAATTTCGTTCAAGATGTGTTTCGGCACCAATTCCTTTACCTAAAAATACTTCCATTCCAAAAAATTATTTTAAAACCTTCACAGATATGCGAAGTAGACGTTCATCATCCTCAGCTTCATCTGCCCAACCTCCTTTTATGATTTCAGCGTTTGGAACAGATTTGGGTTCTATCGAATCAATTCCATCATTTAGAAGAAATTTTTACATAAAAGAAGAAGTTAATAGTTCCTATAATTGTTTAACTAAATTTAGTTGTATATTAGCTTTGTTTGTAGCTTTAATAATTGTTTGTTTGAGTGCACTTGCATTGAAGGTAAAAATTAATAAATTTAATGAAATGAACTGAATTGGGGGTTCATCTGCCCAACCATTACGATTAAAAAGATAAAACAATCTGATTATTATACAAGAAATATTTCTTTAATTTAAAACAAAAATATGGTTTTGGGACTTAATTAAGTAGATCTTTTGAACAAGACTAAATTAAAAAATGTTAATTTAAAAATTTAGGATATTTTGTTGCAACAATTTTTAAATCAAAAAGAAGAAGAAAAAATAAAAATCAAAAACATTCTTCAACCAAATAATACAGGCAATATAACAATCTGATTATTATTAATTAATAGATTGTTTGATTATATTAGAGAATATATAATTAATTAATTATAAATAAAATAGTTATATTTAAATACTTTAATATTTTGTTTACTATCAAAATAATTTATAAAAAAGTTTTTTTAATTAAAAGAAAAAACAGGGAAACTCTCAAATTTTAATTTTTCTCTGAGTAATCCATGAGGAAATTTTCCTTCCTTTTTTGTTCGAGTGTTGAAAGCTCCAATATATCCATTTAATTTTTGCTTTTTAAATACTTAAAATT